GATGAAAATATCTCTTGAAAGGCTATATTTATTGTTTTAAGTTGTCTTCGAGCAGTACTCTTCCAGCCAGTTTACCCTTGTTCTTATTTCGCTGGAAGTTCAAATATTTTTCCTTTGTCGTGCAATGCCTTTAGGCCGTTATGCAACACTTTTCCTAGCTAAACTGTGGTATACTATGGTTTCGAAGAAAATCAATAGCCTGTTTATTTCTATGAATTGTGTTTTACCAGAGTTAGTTAGTTAGTAGTGGGAAATGGCCAGTCCCCTGTACTAACTCTGAGTTAGTTAGTTAGTAGAGGGGACTGCCAGTCCCCTCTACTAACTCTTATAGTAGTAAGTAAAACTTAGGGATAGGTAAAGATAAGTAAAACTTACTACTATGGACTCGTGTTTGTGCAGCTTTTTATCTTTGGAAAAAATCAGAATGCTGAAAAACTTTTACAAAGGACTACTTTTTGTTATTCTCAGGGAACAAAATTATTTTTTCCACACTTTTACTGTGACACCCAGAAACTGTGAACTCCAGAAATACATGTACTTATGTAATGTCCTTGCAATTCAAGACAACTAAACAGCAGCAGTAGGGAGTTTGCTCACTCCTGAATTTTGTGTTCAACTATACACAACTGTCCTGTGAGAATCAAATCAAAGTGTTTGTAGCTTTCTTAGTTTCACAGTAATAAGTAATTAAACAGTGTGGTTACATGGCCTGCTGCAAATCTGCAGTTCACCACCTTCTCTAACCTCAGATATGCCAGGTGGTCTGCCTTCTACAAATTATTTGTATTTGAAGGTGCCTCCAAAAATTTAGATGAGAGGACATAAATCTTAACAACGCGGTTAAATTAATTTTACTTTAAGGTAATCACGTTTCTAAATATTTGGTGGGGCAGGACAATTCTAATATTACTATTGAGTCATTCATTTGTTTTTTTATTTGAACACTTGTTTATCCACTACATTATGGGGTTACCAGTAATGGATGGGTGTAGTGAGAAAAACTTCAGAAGGAATACTGTCAAGATCACCATTATCAACAAATCACAGTCTTCTTTTGCTTCTTGTTTCACAACGGAGTCCATCGAATCCACGCTGACAAGTACAAACATGACTGTTCACTCAGTCAGTACAAGTACCACTGTTTACACAGGGTACATTGGAACACTCATTGATATCATTAAAGCTTTTGTATGGCTTGCTACTCTGGCCCCTTGTCAAGCATCAGGTGTAAATCCAACCTGGTGTACTACTTTTTAAGCTCATTGGCCCCTTTTTTTAATATCTTCTGTTGATATGGTTATCAATTACAGAATGTATCAAGATAATGAATTGAGAAAACAAAAAAAGGTGTCTGATCACACATGATGACATTTGTTTTTACAGGGAAGCATTTATGAAATTTCGTATGCATCTGCTTGATATGCTTGATCTGCTTGGTATGCAAAACTTCATTATAATTTAATGCTACCCCGGCCCTAAAAACGACGATATAGATTCTCCTAGAACTATTCAAGTACAACAATCTCTATCCATTTCTTGGTTAAGAGCCTGCGTAAAAGTCAAGGGGATAATATGACGTCACAGGCTAACGCGCGGCCATTTCGCAGTTTGAGTAATGGCGGACGTTGCATCGACGAAAACAAGTCTAAAAAAAAAAACAGACTTCCACTTCGAATTTTCATTCCAAATTTCGTGAGAGTGGTAAGTATCCGGTAAGGATTCTAAAAAGTGAAAAATCAGGCAAACGCTAAATTTGGTCTCAGTAGCACTTGAACAAAACAACCGTGCTAATTTTGAAAATAGGCACTGCCTGAAATATTAGGGACTTTAAGCAAACCACGACGGGTACGGCAACGAGAACATGGAAAAACAATAGATCTAATCAGCAGAACAATAGCCCAGCACGTGCGTTTTAAAACTTTGTACATTTCTTAGCCGTCCTTTGCAAAACAACAACGTGAAATCACCAAAATTTGCGTCGTCTGCGAAGCGAAACCGCGGCGGCAAATTATTTTAATTTACATTTGGAAATCAACGCTACTTTTATGCGTTATGTTGAGTTTGAGGTCTGGGGCCCTTTAAGACGGTAAACACATGCAGCCATTTTCGAAATTCTAACTAAATGAAAAAACTCATTTTTTAATCGACGTCTTCCGTGGCATTGCCGTCCTGACTGCTTAAAGTCCCTAATATTGATTTTTAGCGAGGAATGGAGTAACCAAAAATATGCATAAATTAAGTCATGCTCTTTGATCGTTGAAAATTAGTAAAGTTCATCGAGCTCCTGTAGCTATAAAAGACTAGTTGCAAAAAATGTTGTTGTTGTTTTCGGTACACCAGCCCTAATACTAAACACAGACAGTGGTGAGGACTCCAGATCCCGTTATGCTTTTGAGAAAAGCTTCTTGGAACAACAGCACACTCGCTCAAACTTGGAAAGTGCGGTTTGTGTTGTATTTTCAAAATAACGTAATTCTTAATTGTTTGGTCAAAATTTACATATTTTGCTATTAATCGACAGAAGAGTTGTAAAACAATACCTATGCCCGATTCATGCTTTTTGAATAAATGTCTAAGTTTTTAGAGCCTCCAGCGAAACGCTGCAAATGAACGCTGAAATAAACAATTTTCTTTGTTTTTGACTGTCCTCACATCTCGTTGCCAAAAATTTGATAAAATAGCATTACGAACCAAAGAAATGCAATTTTTGCCGATACAACAGATCAAATAGGTGGTTTGCAACCAATCTCTAGAGACAAAGGTAACAATGGTGAAAGGAACAAATGCTGGTGGACGAACAAAAGAAGCTGAGATATCTATTGTTCACGTCCACCAAAATGGCGCAATGACGTAACGTGCAAACCACCTATATCTCACAGTAAAAATTTGAGGGAATTCTGTGATGGGCCGAAATTCGAGTGGTCGGTTCTTACACGGACAGCCTCTTAAAAACAAGGTACTTTGGCGTGGTAAATGGCGTACACGAGTCTTTCACGGGGTATCTCCATGCATTGTTTTTTTTTTTCTTATGATCAGCTGGGGGACAGACGGATAACGGACGTCAACATGAAAAACGTGCATTTCTTTATTATATTGTCACGGGGAAATTTAGTAAGTTTTCCGAGGGTTTGTTTTGGGATATATTTAGTCACAAACTTTTTAAAACGTTTCTGATCTATTCGAGTTCACTCAAGTTCGTTCCTTTTAGTAATTGAAAAAATTTAGAAAAAGCCACAGTAGTTTTGAAATACTCAACTAATATATTTTGCTTTGTTGCTTGCCTTCTTAGTACATTTTACTTTCCTTTCAAAAGATATTTTTTCCTTTTACCGAACTTAACACCAACATCGCGTAGATAAACAAAAATTTCTAATTACTTCTCACTTTTATTTCCTAGGCAACTCTAAAATAATAAAGATAGGTATATTTGTGATATCAGAGTTGTGGATTTTCATTTAACAAATGGGAAACACCACAGCGTACCATAGCGTACACTATTGAGTTATGGATACAGGCGGGAGGTTGCTATGCACGAAAGAAGTGTAAGAGTCACGCGAGGAGATAGCCGAGAGTGACTCTAGCTTCTTGAGTGCTTAGCAAACCTCCCAAGTGCATCCATAACTCAGTAGTGTACGCTGTGGTACACTGTGGCGTTTACCATTTGTTTCATAACATAACGTTGATACATTGTAGCAAAAGAATTTTCTTCTATTTAACAAGTCTTGCGTGCCAGAAAAAAAAAAAAAAAAACAAGCGCGCGGAAACCTAGTTTTTGCATTTCCTCACGTCAGCAGCGTACACCCATAGGCAAATGGTGGACACTGAATTGACCAATCAGGGCACGCGCTTTAGTTTGGTTGGCCCAGAATCTACTGTATCCGCTTTCTTGATTTTGACATTCTTTCAGCCGTAGAAACAGATGAAGTATTTAAGTGGGAATCGCCAAACTTCAAAGAGGCTTTTTTTTTCCAACCTTTTATGTCCTTATACAAATATTGTAATTTGTGTCACAATAGAACCTCACACCGGTTCGTACTTGAGCAAGTACGTTGCAAGTCTTTTTCGAGTTACATCCCGCGATTACATCCTGCGATTAAACATTCGATTGCGAAGTTGTGTATGCTAAAGGTCATGTTGCTTGTTGGGATGACCTAAAAATAAACTATTTTGGAACCAAACGCTGTTATCCTCAGAGACGTACAAGCTCCCTTGAAGTAGATCTCCGTGTACTAGGAAAACGTGACGAGTTTCCGTTTCCGCTGCCAATTTGTCTCTACCGACCTAGTTTTCCCCCGTTGTTGTTACCTATCCTGCGAGCGTTCAGTTGTGGCCGAAAAACCTATCGTCCCAACGTAAACAAATGTATTCTACGTCACAGTGGGTCAACTCAATAATAGATCACAGAGGACGTCAGAGTGTGGTGAGAAAGAAGTGATTTTAGCGTGCCGCATTTTTTGTTCTCACCACATAATGACTTTATCTGTGATCAATTACTGAAGAGACCCGCGGAAAAATGGACGTCGCGTGACACCTAGAAACATGATGCTTAGGAGTGTATAGTGTTGTGTCTTAATGCCGAAAAGTGACGCCAATCCTTCGTTAAAACGGCCGACCGAACTTCAATAATCACTAACTAAACTAAAGTTACACAATATACCCAGAACCTAAACATGCATGTAACTTAGCTCTTTGGGTTTACGCTCTGGGACCTCTCATGTCATGCATCTTACGTAACATTACACCTAGTGATGGTTCCTATTATTTAAACCCTAATTCATTAACACTAAAAAATATAGGAGCCAAAACCGAACAATAAGCGGCAGATCTCATTCTTTTAAACGAAGTGCTGAATAGGAGCCCTGCAAGAGATTTAAAGACTTTTTCTTTACCTCTACAGGATCAGATCTAACTTGACAATCGAGGTCTTTCGCCTTAGAGAGCACCTCACTTATTGTTCATTATTGAATCAAATTTGTCAAATCCTTCAACTTTTCCATCTTTTAACACCAAAATCCTCTGGCAGTCTCTTATCGTGTTCAAACGGTGAGCTATAGTGATGACAGTGGACTCCTTCAGTTTGTCCCGCACTACATTCCATATCGTCTGCTCAGTGTCTGGGTCTACATGCGCAGTTGGCTCGTCCAAGACGACGATTTTACTTCGCTGTAGCAGCACACGAGCCAAGCATATTAACTGCCGCTCTCCGACACTGACATTAGCGCCATGTTCCAGGAGTTCGTGATCGAGCTTGGCCTCAAGTCTCTCAACAAAATCTTTCAGTTGCACATCCTCCAAAGCCTGCCATAATTCGGCGTCTTGAAACTTGTCTAAAATGTCGAGATTTTTTCTTAATGATCCACTAAAAAGAACGGGACTTTGGCCAAGAACCGAGATACCTCGTCGGGCTTGTTGGAGGCCTATCTCTTTAATTGGAACATCGTCGATGATTATCTCTCCATCAGCATCAGGCATGCGCATAAGAGCTGCTACGAAAGATGACTTGCCAGCTCCCGTGCGGCCAGCAATTCCGATCTTTTCTCCCCCTTTAATGCTAAGATTCATTTTCTTCAGCACTTGAGGTCCTCCCGGATAGTAAGTCAGAGATACATCTCTGAATACAATACTTCCTCTACGAGGCCAATCTTTTTGAGGTTGTCGCTCCTCCTCGTATCCAGGCTCCCGTTCGAGTTTGGTGTAGGTCATAACTCGCTCAACTGACGTCATGTAGGTTTCTACTTCAGAGGTTTTTCTAACTGCGTATTGAGTCCTGTTCAGAGTTTGGATGACGTAAACAAGAGCAAGACCAGCATAACCTGAAAAAAAAAAAAAAAAATTGGAACTTTATTCCATAAAATCTAGACCAGTCTCCTGCTGGCTTGAACCTTCGAGAGAAACTTTAAAAGGTGTTGGTCACTTTGTCTTGTCAAGGCAATCAGTTAATGGGAAATATAGAAACTTTTTATATTATTATTATATGCCAGCTCTTTGTTTTAGTCTTCCTAAGGTTAAAACCCCAAATTTCACTTCTCAACCATAGAAGACACGTGAACGTTTGGTGAGCTCCAAAGCTGCCCGAGTGACCCTCACGTTTCTTTCGTGTTTAAAAAGTACCCACGGTTAGGTTTTGGATGCCAGATGGGTTTGCGTAACTTTCGGTTACACTACTCTCCCAGCCACTCTTCTGTTTACATAAGACTATTTAGACGCAGAAAAAGTCCTCTATCGCTTTGCATTTATAAAATATTTCCCAAGAACTATTGCGAATCTGGAGTGTCCAACCTCTTGCCCGTACACACCTAACGACCAATGAGAGTGCGCGTATAGTGTCACTTACTCAATAGTTTTGTAGTGCACGCTGTGTTAATACACGACTATACAGATTCGTGATAAGTACGAAGACTCGAAAACGTTCCTAAGAATCTTGAGCTTACCGGCATCTTGAGATACCAAGACTGCAGCCAGAGCAACTGCACCGACTAACAGGGAAGCGAGACAATCCAAACGTGTACCGAGCCATCTACCGCTGGCCATCACCATAAGGTATGCCTGATTATGAACATCTTGATATCTGAGGGGACGAGAGTTAATCACAGTTAGCTTTTATAAAGGAAACACTTTCAGATGACTGTCAAAAAAAATGCATTACGTTAGCATTGTATTACTTTGTTCTGTGACTAGCCCAAAAAGCTCGAGCGCACCTTTCAACAAAATTGATCTGATGCAAAAGCAACCAACCGCCCTATTGGTCCTTCCCGTTTTCCTGCACTCAATTCCGATTCCTTGTTGTTACTTTTAGTTCTCGTTAACAAGTTGCGACCTTTTCTTTTTGTTCTGATTGGCTTGTTGGGATTACTTTGGTTTTGTTGTTCGAGATTAGTCTAAAAACGTTCTAAAGAGAATATCTTGGGTAAAATACGGCCCTTTCGCCTGATAATAGAATAGAGCCTTGTAAAGAGTTCCACTCCCCCCCTCCCCTTCCACCAACACTCCTCTCCAGGAAACTCCCGAAATAGTCCGGAAGCCAGGACTGGAAAATTGAGGTTTCGCACAACCCACGAGTTAGAAAAGGTTTGATAGTAGGTTTTGATAGAGGAAGACTTGCTGATTAATGCCAGGTAGTTCGTAAAGTCCAATTGTGGTAAAGGTTTTGCGTTAAGAGGGTGTTTTCGTGGACAAACCACTGTTCAGCATGAAAACGAGGCTGACTTATAAACGAGATTCCCAGGCCTTTTGACCACGATTTTAAGACTAGACTTCTTAAGTGAAGTCAGTTTCACAACAGGAACTTTGCTTACTCTTTAAATCCGTGAAACATGTACCCTGACTGGTCATGTGACTCTGAATATGCAAAAACACTCTTAGGTAAGTACTTATTACTATAGTTTACTTTCATATATAAACATTAGCCTATCATCTCATGGGAGGAACGAACGTTTTTGTGTTAGAAAAGACAAATTTGCACTAAATTCTTATGTAAAAACAAGAATTGCTCTTTTAAAGTAAAGTTTAAATGAATTTTAAAAAGTTATCCTCTCAGCATGAAAACGAGGCTGGATAATGGGTAAACCCTTTTCGTTTTCTTTTTACACAAGGTAATCGTTAAGAATTATCAAATTGTGTGATAAATCATCTGAGGGTTATCCTTATTGTTTTGGATAGGTCTATAATCGTTCATTTCATTCTTTTTATCAGAAAATCGGAAAAGGAGAATTTTTCTCTAAAAACAAATTGAGATATTACCCATACTAGTATTATGGGATACATCACGATAACTCTTACACTTAACTTATTACTAATACTTCATGGAGCAAGTGGTCTCTTTTGAAAGCTGCTGCTTTGTAAGTTATGGAACAGTGGAAATCTACCGAACTTAAACTTAGTTTCATTGTTCAATCATCACAATCAGAATCACTGAAATCATATTCCTCCCATTGTATCCCGTGTGGATAGGAACATGTTTCCTCTGCCATACAAATACAGGCCTCGGTGCAGGAAGGACCAACATTGCTGCAGGAACACTTGTTTCGACACTCAGACATCTTGCAAGTGCAAGTTGTCAGCTCTAGTAAACTGCTGGATACGGTATCCTTTGTCATAAGGTGTGGTTTTTTAGCTCCCCATCTTCTATTATCCATCCATGTCCCACTGGGGAAGGGATTTCTCCCAGGCCATCAAGAGAACTCTCCAGATATATGTCTGATAGTTGTCTGTGGTCTCTTCTTTGAGGCTGGATAGATGTTACAAATAAATGCTTCCTATTTTCTCAGTGTCTCTTCGTCTTCTTGCTCTTCTTGTCCCAGAAGACCAAGACTTCCCTGGTGCACTTGGCTTCGAATCATTGCTTTCCATGCTTTTGTCTTACCAATCCCTGAGATTGGACTGTTGATGTCACATCCAATGAGAGTATGAAAGGCAGGTGTAGTGTATAGGATGCCAACGAGCATGTAATATGCGCGATATAATGTGATGCGTGATGTGTGATGTAATACCCTCGAGACCTGCATATATACAGCATGTGTTTAACCATTTAGTTAGTTCTCTTAGGTACGTGAATAAAACCGATTTCATTTTAACCGCTGTGTACTACAGCAGGTAAAGCAGCAAGAACCCTGTCTCCAAGCTTCTGGCAAACATCATGAACTGGTACAAAAGCCATTTAATCTTCAACAACGGTGCGGAACCTCAGCTCTTTCGGTGACGTGTAATGCTCGTAAAGTGGGTTGCACTTGTTGCAAGTTCACATGTAAATCACAACAAATTAGCATCCATAGCTTAGTGCATGTGCATTTGCAATGTGTACAAAATTAGCATATCTAGCTTGTTACTTAACACTTTGACATTTCCCAACTAAAGGAATACTTTAACGAGAGCACCACGCTATCAACACACTCAAAACAAGACCGTGTGTGTCATGTGATTGGATGATAATTCTTGTTTCCGAGCTCACAGCGTACTTAGCTTGAAACAACATCCGGGTATCTGCTTCTTCGTGATTGGATGCAAGATCTGCAACATCACCATGGGAATCTCTAGTGATAGCCACACATCGCCTTCCATTCTTGAATCCTCCTGCGACGATCAGTTTGGTATTCTGGGGGAGCCTCCCCTTGTCAAGAGTGCACATAAACTTTGAGATCAAGTCACACAGGTTCTCCTTATTCTTGGGGTTGTTAATGTACTTGGCCCATTGCTTGGGAACTGGCGTCGAAGCTCCACCAAAAATTACTTCCAGTGCACCTGATGTACCCCCCTTGATCGCTCATCAGCTTTGATTTACATCTCAAAGTACGGTCAAAAACGACATAAACGCAGTCACACTTGCGGGTGGACAGGAGTGAAGAAGAGATGCTGTAATCCTTTGTAGCCAGTTCGCCAACGAAGGTGCCCCACCCGACTTTGTCATCTCGGCAACAGCCATTCTATCTATAATGTATACCGTGTTCTCAGGAGCTGCTAGAAGTCGACGGACGACTTTGACAAGCTTCTCTATGATGTTAGCTAATTAGCACTTGGCGTTCTTTCTATGAGTCCCATCTTGATGGGCGACTGCACATGGTATGGATGACAACTCATAGGTCATAGCTTCTATTAGATTTATTTGACGCGCAATGGCAACAGTTAGGAGCCTTCCAAAGAGGTCCCTGTCGGCACTGATTGTGGTGATCTTATCTTCTGAGGCCTTCACTTTCACCTTCTTCGCCAGAGAACTAAAGGTCTTTACCTTTAGCTTGAGAATAGGTTCCCAAAACCTAGCATCATTGGTATTCAATCGCTCCTCTATAAACTCCGTCATCTGTTCTTCACCTTTTCTTCGGCAAGCAAGAGATTCTGCAATCTTCTGTGGTAAAACAAAGCCCGTAGCAATATTTACAAGGGACTGTACTTCTTCTACATTGAAGGGGTTGGTCATCAGACCTGATGAAAAACTTGTCAGCCTCCTTACATCCTCTTCGTTTCGCTTTACTCTTTGTGGAGCAGCCTCCTTATGAATAGCCTGATTGCCTTTGATATCACCGTACATCTCTCCTAGGGAGGTTGTGACTGAAGCACGTTCATGAGCAGTAAGGAACCACCTTTTGAGGGCAGCTGGGCTTTGGGAGATTCCTACTATGCCCCCCCTTGGACTTCGAATCCGCGTTGATAGACTGCTCGAGAGTCAAAATAGCTCCAAGTAAATTAAAAATACCTATGCTGATAGGTATGTCGCGTTAATATTAGTTCATATAGCAACTCTTTTAAGGAAATCCGAAAAAGAGAGCGAACAAGGGCTACCCACTATCTAGCCTCGTTTTCATGCTGAGAGGATAACTATTTAAAATCCATTTAAACTTTACTTTAAAAGAGCAATTCTAGTTTTTACATAAGAATTTAGTGCAAATTTATCTTTTCTAACACAAAATGTTCGTTCTTCCCTTGAGATGATAGGCTAGCATTTGTAAATGAAAGTAAACTATAGTGATTAGTACTTACCTAGGAGTGTTTTCGCATATTCAGAGTCACATGACCAGTCAGGGTACATGTTTCACGGATTTAAAGAGTAAGCAAAGTTCCTGTTATGAAACTGACTTCACATGAGAAGTTTAGTCTTAAAATCATGGTCAAAAGGCCCGAGAATCCCGTGTTATAAGTCAGCCTCGTTTTCATGCTGAACAGTGGTTTGTCCACGAAAACACCCTCTTAACGCAAAACCTATACACAATTTGACTTTAAAAACTACCTAGCGTTAATCAGAGGGTCTTCCTCTATCAAAACCTGCTATTAAGCCTTTTCTAACTCGTGGGTTGCGCGAAACCTCAATTTTCCAGTCCTAGCTTCCGGGCTAAAAGGTTCACTTATTGACCAGTGTCTTCGCACACGTCAGAAAGAAAACAATTTGGTGATTTAAGGTGGAAATACTGAGATTAAAAACTCATTCGTGCTCTGTGGATTAATCAGCTCTTGCAGCACATCCTGAGTCAATGTCTCTAACGTACCTGTACAGTGTCTGCAAAAAATCTGTCTGTCTTCCTCTTGTACGAATCGTGTCCAGTCCAACCAGAGTCTCCGAAAAGTGAGCGAACACTGGGCTGCGGGATATCGACTCTAACCTCTTCAGTTGTCTGGCCGTTTTCAAGTAATGATTGGATAAAAAAACGACCAGCACGGAAATTGGAAAAACAACAAAAACGAGCCAAACATTTGTGGCAACTGTAACCAGAATTTGGAAAAATATCAGCAAGAGCATCTGCATTGCTGCCAGGAATGTTTTGGGTAACAACTCATCCACGCAGCCAATATCATTCGAGAAGCGATTTAGGATTCTTCCCACAGGATTTGAATCAAAGAACAGAACAGGTGCTTGTAAAATGGCCACAACCATTTTATTGTGGAGACGCTTGGCGCTTTTTAGACAAAGTAAGAGGAATCCATAAGCCCGAATGATAGTAAATATAAAACACGCACCAACCAGACAGGCGAAGACAGAAAGAAAAGTTTTGTTCCTCTGATCCTCTGGGGTTAACCTTGCGAGAAAGGAGAGCCAAAAGTCCGGTGCAACTATGACGGCTGAAAAAGACATCATCAAGATGCGGTAATTGAAATGTATTTCTATGTGATCATTCAGTTGAACACCGTAAGATTTATTTGGCATAGACATTAGCTGCCTGGATTAAATACTACTAATAGTTTGCAGGTTGAGAATGTATCTGTACTCACTGCAGTATGTGAGGGTAGATGAATTGGTTAATCATGGCAAACATTAGAAGAAAACTGCCCTGGGAAGCTAATGCTGGTAAGGTAGCTCACAAAACAGGCAGCCTTTTCTTGTGTTTTTATTACAAGCCTGCACGACGCAAACGAGACGAGGTGCTTCTCCAATCGCGCGTGTCTCGCCCTTCGCGTTATCCTCGTTCGCGCCTCACACTCGTTCTTGCACTTCACAAAACCTCAAAAAGCCCCCTTTTTTATAGGTGTCAAGCAAGGTTTTATTGCAAGTTCATTTCCATTTATTATTTTTAACATATAACGTTGGTTAAAACGACAGTTGTAATGGAATACTTTGCCAAAGCTAGTAACTCAGTATAAGAATAAGTTTACCTTGAGTAATGAGACTTAAACCAACCATTCCAGTTATCATCAAAGGATGTGCTCCACTTCTGAAGTAGTCCCAATAAAGCTTGCATGTCACAACTCCGATTGTAAGATCCTCCTTTGCTATCTCCAAACTCTTCGCTTCATTAGGCAGAGGATGTGTTTTCTGGCATTTTTCAGCATCGTGTGTCTCAGTATCCTCCCAGGCAAACATCTCTAATGATTCTGTTTTGTCTTTCAGAGCTGCTTTATAAAGCGGGTCAATAGTTGAACTGATTACACCTTTCTCGCGCAGCTCAATATAGCGTCCATTGTCCAGGACACGCCCTTTGTACAACACAATCACTTCATCAGCATTTTCCATGTGCTGTTGCTGATGAGAGGTTAACAAAACGATTTTATCAGCCAGTAGATCTTTGATGCACTTGTTAAAGATGTGTTGGCCGACTTTAAAATCGACAGCATTTAGTGGATCATCTAATAGATAAAACTCTCCTTCTGCATAAACTGCACGAGCTAAACTTACTCTTGCCTGTTGTCCTCCACTCAGAACCTCGCCGCGTTCTCCAACAACTGTTTGGTCACCATGAGGTAATCGCTCAAAGTCTTCTTTCAGAGCGCAGACGTCGATTATTCTTTCGTACTTGGACTCCTCGTAGGTCTGGCCAAACAGGATGTTTTCTTTAATCGTCCCTGAAAACACCCAAGCAGTCTGAGGCAAGTAAATGACATTGCCTCGATGAAAAATCGTCCCACTACTGTTGGAAATTTCACCAGCGATCGTTGAGAGCAGAGTAGATTTACCACTTCCAACTGGGCCGGTGATAATTGTTAAACTCTTTGAAGGTGCAACAAAGTTGATATCCTGAAGAATGAATTCATCTCCACGCTGGTTCTTTGCGCAGGTTAACTTTGACACACATAGATTGGTTGGTCCTAATTCTGTTGCTTCACAAGAGAGTGAAATGTTGTTCATATTTTCGGCTTCTTTTTTCGAGTTGCCGCTACTTTGTTTAGTAGAGGTACTCTCCACCTTTTGTTGGTGTTTCTTATTTTTATCACCCTCCGAGGCTTCCGATAAGTTTTCTAAAAGAAGAAATTCTTCGATTCTTTCAAGTGAAACGTATGCGTCATATGTTACCATGAAACCGTCTATCATATTCGACATGCCAGCAAGTTTTATGAAACCCATAAACGACAGCAGCATAAAAACATTAGCAGGTGTGAGGGTCTGGCCTGTGAGCACCATAGTAATTACTGACACCAGAGTAGCTAATGGCGTTGCACTGTATAACAAGGCATCGATACTTGACTGAATGGTTGTCCTCTTCGAAATGACGCTGATTTCATTTCTGAAGAAAAAAGATCATCGCAAGTTATGAGGGCATTCTCTCGACCCTACTCGTTCCCAGTCTTCTCTCTACTACAAAATATTAATGAGGTGAATGATTGTTTCAGTATAATTGCTTAGGTGTTCTCGAATTCTGTTGCAAATTCACCCTGTTATTAAAGCCATTCTGTAAATAAAGAAAACTTTGCGTGTTTTTCGATACAATTGTTTTGACCGCTTAAATAAAGTTAAGGAGTCTGTCTCCACTAGAATATAACAGCAAAAAATTCCTTCCTTCCTCGGTAACTCTTAAAAAACGCGAATCAGTCATTTTTAAAGTCAGCGCACGTTTATCAGCTTAGGGGAGCATGAATTTGAGCGAACCAATGTTCAAAAGGTCAAATGTTCGGGGGGTTGCCCGGGTCGGAGCTTCCAGTTGGTCGGCGCTTAAATCAGCTAGTCATCAGAGCGCGTTCTAACCGAGGGATATAAGTTTAAATAAATTCATGCATATATTCAATGCATCTTACACCACCACATAGTTATTGAAGCCAACCCTTGACTAAACATGATCATTTGCCTCACCTTCGTATGTCTTTTGTTTTTCGCCGATATTCGTCCTCCCACGCATGCGTTTTGACCGCGCGGATTCCGGAAACTACTTGATTCATTAGTGAGATTCGCTGATCCGACACTGTAGCTGTGCGCAAGCGTAGCCCAGCATTAGCATAGGACAAGACGGCAAAGTATGGCATGAGAATACACAGGAGGAACACTCCTGTTGTAGCCTGCCAACAAATCAGTGTGTAAATAAGGAATATTGTTCCAGCATACGAAACGATTCCGAAAGGTGTCAGGAAAAAAAACTTGACTGTCTCTTCTTCCATTCTCTTAACATCATTAGATATCAGGTCATATAAGCGTCCTTCAGTGAATTCCAGTAGCGTCTGCTTGCTGAGAAGAAGCGTCTGAAAGAGAGTCAATATTTGATATTAAAGAGTAAGTGTGTTTCAAAACCCACAAGATTTTAATCTCCTCCTCAAAAGATAACCATAACCGCGTTTCCAGACGAGAATGTTGGAGCTTTTACCGATCTTTTTAAAGTACCTCCAATTGAGTCCAGGATGCGACAACTCAGTCGCAAATCTAAATCTCGCTCAACAGGGCGGTCGTTTACCAATGACGTATGAAAGTACCATTCTCCTTTTTTCATCTTAAGGGCGGGAGCTACTTGAACAAGAAGGAGCTACACAAAAAGACATTCTTGACTTAAAGGCCGTTTAAAGGCCGTTTACACGGCAGAAAAATCGGGTACGGACGTGTCAAGAAAGGAGTACGGACCTCACATTTTTACCCGTGTAAACAATCCGTACCATGTTTTGGGGGATGGGTACAGACCCGTGTTTTTTCTGGTTTTTGGGTCATAGACCTCTATGGCCCTAAAACCAGAAAAAACACGGGTCCGGACCAATTTCTTGCATCACGCGTCGCCATTTTGTTTACAAGAATTACGCATGTTCGATAATAGCACACAGCTGTACCAAATACTGTAGTCCCATACAAGAAGTTGGTCCGGTCCCCCAAAAACTGCAGTGTAAACGCAACCTTGCTAACTTGGTCTCTATGCCTCTTTTTGTCCGACCCGTGATAAAACATCATCCGTGTAAACGGCTAAAATTAAGTGGTCCGTACTTCCTTTTTGACACGTCCGTACCCGATTTTTCTGCAGTGTAAACGGCCTTTAATACGGCAGACAAATCGGGTACGGACGTGTTAAAAATGAGTACGGACCTCACATTTTTGCCCATGTAAACAATTCGTAACATGTTTTGGGGGATGGGTACGGATTGGGTACGGAGTGGCCATAGACGTCTGTGGCCCCAAAACCAGAAAAAACACGGGTCCGTACCCATAACTCAGCATCACGCATCGCCATTTTGTTTACAAGAATTACACATGTTCGATAACAGCACACAGCTGTACCAAATACTGTAGTCCCATGCAAGAAATTGGTCCAGTTCCCAAAAAACTGCAGTGTGAACGCAACCTTACTAACTTGGTCCTTATGCCTCTTTTTGTCCGACCCGTGATAAAACATCATCCGTGTAAACGGCTAAAAGTATGCGGTCCGTACTCCTTTTTTGACACGTCCGTAGCCGATTTTTCTGCCGTGTAAACGTCTTTTTAGATAATTATTTTTGTGATAGTCATAGAGGAACCTTTTTGAGTCAGGCGCGTTGTGTCTGACCATGGAGAGTTATACTTTTGAAGAAAACTTTAGAATGATAAGGTTACTCTTTGAAAGCTCAAAAGTGGTCAGAGTTTACAATTATGAACATACTTTCATGATTTAAGAAAAGGTTTATATATTTTGGAACATACTTTCCCATCAATTATAGACTAAGTTACTGTTTGTTAGTCGTTTGTTTGTTGATGGGTAGAATCACTTGAGTTCTACAGTTGTCTCGCAGAAGCAGCAACCAGTAATCATGTTCAGTAATATTCTCTTTCCGGGTTTCACTATAGCATAAGTTGATTAGATAAGTTGATAGAATACTCTTTAGGATCGTGCTTACCTTGTTATACACCAGTCCCCACACGGGATGTTGGGAGAACACGAGGAAAGCTAAGAATCCCGAGCCAATCAGACGTTGCGTACAATGTTCATTATGTTAAAAGGAATAGAATATTGTTTAGGATCGTGCTTACCTTGTGGTACACCAGTCCCCTCAGGGCGCTGCCTATTTTGATCCCCAACACTTCACATCTGTAGCCTTTATGGTGCATACCAAGACCACCGATCAAACCATTGAGACACATAGCTAATGGGCAGGCGTATGTTAGGTAAGTATTCTCTGCCTCAGCTGACATAAGCATAGAAACGAAATACCCGAGCAACAGTGGAAACAGAAGGCGAGAAGTTGTACACAATATATCCCCAGTTAAAATAACGATAAAATCTTTGACAGAAAGCATATCAAACACGCTTTTCCAGAGCTTAGGCCTTTTCCCATTTATCTTGCAATGACGTTTCTTGTTTTCCCAGCTTATTCGAAGCTTGTCGGTTACAAAACGGCCAGAGTTCTCGTCGGACAAGGGTAAAAAGTCATTTTGATCCAAAGTTTTTTGACTGCCCTCTTTAAGGACTCCGTTCATCCAACGAAAAAAAAGAGAAGAGGCAAAACTGACTTCGTTGTCGTCATCACCGGAGATTTTCCTGTAACCGCCGTTTGATGTCATCGCTTGAGACCTAAAAATATTTAGAAAATATTCTCATTGTTGGCCTGTTTAGCGCAGATCAAACGTCTGCGCATGTATTTTCAAGATTTCAGAACCAAGTTATCATATGAGAGTTATCAACACACATAGACAGCTATCATCGTTCCATATGCGTATAAACACGATTGTGACGTCACGTCTTCGTTGCTTTCTGAGAAATATTTTATGTGAGCAGTAGAGGATTAAAAAAATACGGTGGGCTGGAAGAATTCTCGAAAGTTATGTGAACCCTCGAGTGCGTCTCGACTTATCCGCTGCAAAGACCTTGCGAACTTACGTCTTCATACACTGATTACATATACACAACAATTCCGAAATTAAGTCACCTATAGAATAAATTGCAGATCGTCATGTTGCTGTTATTTTTGTTCACTCCTGCTTTTCCTTAGGGCCCTGTCTTCACCATGCCGAATGGAAAGGGACCCGAGAGTTTCGAAAACACATTTTAAAAATGAATGAATTCTAAAGGCCTGGGGACAGAAAACAAGATGGAAACGGAGCTTTTTGAAAACGATAATATCAATGCTCTTTGAATTTTTATGGCGGTTTAATCAAGCTCTTGTTATGCATATGATTAAGTTCCCGTTGACCGTTGACCATGGCTATCTTTAAAAGAAAGAACTGGGAACGGAGAAACGAGGAACGGGAGAATGGGAATGGACAACGGATAATGGGGAATAGGGAATGGAGAATGGAAATAGAGAATGGAAATGGAGAACGTGGAATGGAAATGGAGAAGGTAGAATAGGAATGGGGAATGGGAATGAGGAATGGAGAATGGAAAAGGAGAACGGGGAATAGAAATGAAGAACGGGGAATGAG